ACCTTTCACTTCCCTGCCTATAAAATCCAACTCCTCACACCCTATTGGCATATTCATCGCCCTGATGACGGAGGCAGTATGACCTCTGAAACGTTGGTTAACATCGACCAGACTACACAGCGCAACAACCCAGAAGACAGAAATCTTAATAACATTATGCTCGCAATGAAGTCCTATTCAGCGATCAGTCAAGTTAATAGGGAGTAAAAATTTGATGATTCAGATACTGTATCTGGAATGTTAGCCTTTCACCCCACAACAAGATGGCAGGTCAGTAAGAAAAACTTCACTGTACTTAGTTACAATGAAAACTTCACATTTTACACATCTGAAAGTTCATCCCACAAACCACAGAACACTTTACTTTCCTTCCCTCAAAAACAATTCTTTCTTTGTATTTTTAATAATACTATCAACTGCACAGGATATTAAACACTGAATGACAGGAGGATTGTGAAAAATGAATTGGGATGGACATGGAACAAGGAAGATGGCTCGGAGATGTCTGTCTTCTGGTATGATGCACCATCCCATCTGGTAGAAATTGGCTGACATTTCAGACGTACTTACTGCCTTCTTCATCAGGATGATCACCCTGATGATGGTAACAGTAAGCACCTACGAAATGTCGTCAATTTCTACTGGATTACACGACAAGAACCTAAAATCTCAACCTGCCATACCATTTCTTAAGATACTGTCCCAGTATTTGGTTAGGAAAACAGAAGAAAAGAAGTTGTAAGAAGATAATCATTCCCTGAGATAAGATTCCCTTCTGGTAGCTCTCAGATACGAAAAAATTATGAACAATAAACAGTCATACTCAATCTTCTTTGTTGAATAAAGCCACAAAAAAAATTCTTCTGCTTCTATGGGAATGCACAAAAGAATAAAATAAAATCAGACTTCTAATACCTTCACAAAGGTGTTTACCGCCATGATGGCCATGTCTGGTTGGCTCTTTGCATAATTCATTAGGTACAAGTATACCAGCTTCTTCAACTCTAAATTGTCTGTCTGCATACAATTGACCACGTCTGGGAATAAAGCTGACACATCTTTGCCAACGGTCATGGACGCAATCACCTGGACAGAATTTAAATCCACATTTCATTACCAATGACAAACAGACTACTACAAACTTAATCTAGTCCACAGGCTTACAGATTTAAACAAAGCTAATGATGATTTATTCTGTATAATTTTACAAAGTAACTTAAAATCTATCTTTCGCTATATAATAGCCAAAATCTGTCCACCTATCCCACAATCTTTCTCCCAAATGGTCCACCATAAAAAAGTTTCATTCTGTACAAAAAAATGTTCCTTCTGAAGAAATAAACCAGGCATCTGTATAAATTTCTTCCTGTTTTGAAAATTAGGAAAAGGAGTGCCCAAAAACTTAAATAACAGCACACATCTCCCACACAGATTTTGAATAACATGTCCAAAATTATCAAATTTTCTGGAGTATATGATACTTTTTCCTGGAAAATACTGCCTAAAATCTGCACGCATCTAAAAGTCCAAAAGTATTGCACATTTCTTCTTGACAAACTCCAAAATGAGTACAACCTATGGCCCAGCCACCATAAACAGTAACACAGGCTACTATATCGCTAGCTAAAATGAATATCCACATTAATTCTTTGAAAATAAGTTTGCAGATATAAAGATACAAGCCTTCTTTACAGCTTCCCTTTTCTTCTCTTTCTTGTCATTGTTAAGTTCTGACTTCAGCTCGAATATTTCACCCTTCTTTGTAGTTGTAAAGTACTTGGAGTCTGTCATTGTTAGTCACAATCCTGGAAACAAAAATTAAATACCAAATAATTTCAGTGTGTTCAATTTTGTGTTTCCTTCATACAAAAAATAGATAAGTTTCTTAGTCTATAAAGTAGCGACACAAATAGAGGTGGCAGTGGTAATTATATAAAATCCAAAAGTTCGTGACAATGGTTGTAGTGCCATGGAGAGTAGAACATCTACCCTAAAGACAAAGGCAATACATTCTCCTGAAATGTTTGTAACCACCTATAAGTATACATGGTATCATAACCCAGATGACCACAATCTACCGAATGTAAAAATGTATTAAAATCATGTGATTAATACAGAATGAATTTTTTTCTAAATATCGCATGGCTCTTACAGATGCCAGCACCAATCATTTGGCACAAAATTGTTACAGTCAAGAGAATTGCAAGGACACAAAATTTTCTAAGTCTAACAGTTTTAACAAATCACATTTCTGTACCATTATTTATAACAATTAACACAACATTAAACCATATTTTAAAACTCACATTTTATTGCCATAAGTTAAAAATTACTACTTATATTATGAAACATAATGTTTCTTAAATGTGTCATATTCAACACTGTTGTGTAACACACACAGGATAATACCAATGAAAGTAGGAAGCCCCCATGGTAATACCATGCTGGTGCTTAAAATCTGCCTAATGGAGATTATGCAATAACAAATTTCACTGAGAACAAGCAGTTCTGATACCAATTTTCAGTTGCCACAGTGATCAATACACAACAACATGGCTCTACTCACCAAGTAAGTCACGCCTATGATTCACTTCATAAATTATAATTTAACTTAATTTTAACTGCAACATATCAACCAATTCTTATTAAGAAAATATTATAAAACTAGGAATACATCTTATTAATAACACAACAAATCAGATGCAAGTTTATTACAAAAAAATTATTCAATAATTTATTATTTTATTATAAAATCAGCCCAAAGTAAAAGAGTAAATTCAAAATATTTTGTAAACACATTTTATAATATTTCAGTATTTACCCATGACATGTTTAATTATATGAAGACTAAAATATTCATGTTGTACTAATATTGTTGTTGTTTCTTGGCTCTACAACCCGGTTGTGGGTTTTCACAGCCTCCTTTTCAGAGGTTTCTTGGTCTTGAAGTGTGCATTTATGAGTAGTGAGAGACCAGCCCACTGATTCTGCAAAATTTCTACTCAATCCTAATTTGACTGCCAGAGATAGTTATACTAATTATTCAACAAAATACAGAGAATGTTATAGTACGAATGGAGAACAAAAGAAGCAATAATGAAAAAACCTGAAAGGGTATATATGCTAATGGAGCACACATATTTGCCATTTCCCCCCCAATTTTGAATATATCATCAATATACATATGCATTTACTACAGATACAAATTTACTGTTTCAAGGCCAATCACACAACAGACATACTGCACAGAATCATAAATTATTTGATCTTGTATTACATTAAATGTTCACCATACTTAAAAATGTTTCAACTTAAACTTGTAAAACATAACAAGTTCTATATTATAGGTCACATACCTCTTTTTTCTTTGATAAATTACTTTTGAGCACACTAATAACTTTAAGCGCATTTCACTTACAGTACAAGTTACGCTGGAGTGATACAAACCAAACTTGAAAATTCCCAACAAATTTTAATGCAGACTCACCCCCATGCAAAATATACCTGTTAAAGGGATGGATTAGACAAACATTCTCTGAACTTTAACATGGGGCATTTTAATCACTTTTGATGTGCCTTCCTTTCAGAGGTTTGGTGTTTATCATTGTGGTTGCAATAGCAGATTACTGTTGCTCTCAAAATGCTGTGACACCATTGTGGCCATGTTACTCAGTGTTTAAGATACAACTCGCAAACCCTGCATCTCCCTTGTCATCTGTTTACCGCTACACTAGCAAGTTTGTGACAAGAAATGAAGACGAAGCGCAATATCCCGACCACCCAGGTTTGTTGGAAATACTCAACAGTATCTTTATTTGCTGTGAGCTAGAATGTATTCTTTAGCCAAAATGGAATTGTGTCAATTGTCACAACCTGTATAGAAGAATTTTACTGTTTAACAGAAATTAAATTTGGCATAACACTGCCCCATAAACATTTCACAAAGTTCTACATATAATGTATATAGTCAACAAAACATAACTTTCTAAACATTCTTATAAATAATACCAAATTCATTTTAAATTAATGTGCCATTTTGTTATCTGAATATTAGACTGTGTGTTCACCCTGGAAGGACCTCCAAACTCACGTTTGGAATTGCAGCTTTTCAATGTTGTAATACAGAGGCCAGGTTATGTGAGCACGTCACACAACACTGGAAACTGTTCTATGGGAGCCATACGCATCTACAACTTCACTGTAACTGGTGATCTTGTTCAAGTCAATGAGTAAGTAGATGTAACAAGAGTTTTTATTTCATTTCATGGTTTCCCAATTAAAAAAATAAACATTCAGACCAGTTATCAAAAACTACTATTAACTGTCGAGTAAGAAATTTTTAATGTGACATAGGATTCTGAACTTACTCCTGTACATCAGCCGTTTATGATATAGACTGGATTAATCTAGCACAGGATAGGAACTAAGGCCTTTTATACATGGTAAAGAACCTTTCAGTTCGATCAAAGGCATGGAATTTCTTGACTCCCCAAGCAACTATTAGATTCTCAAGAAGGATGCTGGTCTGTGGAACTACTTACTTTATATCAAGTCAGTAGGTGGCTCTGAAGACAGAAGTAATGTTTTGGCAATATGCGGAAAAAATCTCAGCAAAATGCAAATTTTCGAAAATACAGTTAAAAAATTTGCTCCTTGGACAAAATGTCAGGGCTGCAATGTCTGATGAATGTCCTATCACTTCTGTGTATGATGAATACTTAAATATGAGTGGTAAGGATAAGGTGAGAGAATGTGTTTGTCCTTATCTAGATGGGGCTTGTAGAGTAAACCTTATAAACATATTCAGTTTCAGACTGCATATTAAACCTTTGCAGCAAAGCGTAGAGAGACTCATACCAGTAAACTACGAACAAATAATTGTTACAGTATCTGTGAAGAACTGAAATGCAATTTATTTCTGATGGTTAAGAAATTATTAGCACCACTGACTTACTTATATTTCTAGTGAAGTACAAAATAGCTTGTTCAAGGTCACACTCATTCTTCTACCTTAAAAAAATCAATCAATTAATTCTAAATTTTAACTGTTTCAGAGTCTGCAATTCATTTCAGACAGGAACAAAGCTCTTAAGTGATACCAATGTTGCAGTTGTTACATCAACCATAGCTATCGGTCACTTTGACCTACAGGCCACTGTCATCCCACAAAATAACACTGGAAGAAATGAATTAACAAGAAGCCTGCCAACAAGAAAAGGAAATGTTATCCATCTCGGACATACTCAAGATGAACTAAACTTAATATCCAAATTACTAAATCCTCCTAAACTAGAATCACTTTCTGATAACCTGTCATCGAATATGACAAATGGATTAATTAATGAGACAGAATCTGAAGATGCTGAGTATTATGACGACTACAGTAACATGGAGAACAATGAAGATTTTGATAACCACAATAAACAAGTAAGCAAGCTTGTAAATAATCAACTTTCACGGCCTAATGATCACAAAATCAACAATGATTTTGGTAATAAGATCAATAAAAAGAGTCATAATATGAATCATAAAATCCATCAGTCGAATCATCTAAGGAATGGCCAGTCTCATCAGCTAGAAAATGAGTTAAGTCTTCTTCAAGGTAACAGTTTTATTCAGCAATTAAATCAAGACAAACCTCATCCTATGACTGATCAACCAATACATACACAAAACAGCTTATTTAATCAACCCAATGAAAATCAATTAACCCAACAACAGAATGGTCAATTACATCATCTATTAACTAATCAAATCAACAGTGAACTAAATCAAGCTATAAATAATCCTCATGGAACTATGAACCATCTTGTAACAAACCAATTTGCACAACCAAATATCCTACCACATCAGTCACTGAATAATCACATGAAAAATCAATTTTCTCAACAACAGAACAGTCTCTTACATCAAACTCTGAACCATCAGACAGAAAACCAGTTTAATCAACAGATTAATCAACTGAATGAACTTATGAATCAATTCAAGGGAAATCAACATAATGTGCAATTACATCCGACAGAAAATAAATTCACCCAAAACCAAAAAGAAAATGGTCAACTGAATCATCCTATGAATCAGCTAACTGGAAATAACTTGAATCAAGCTGTAAATCACTTAAGTGAACATCAGAATGACCACACAAATCAACCTATGAACTGGTTTAGTAATTCTGTGAGTAGTCAATTTAGCCACCAACTGAATGAACCTCAAAATAAATTAATTGATCATATATTAAGGCTACTTACAGACTATCAGAACTTGATGGAAAAACCAAACAACCCAATCCAAATGGAACGCAATCAACAGACAATTCAAAATAATCAACTGTTAAATCCATTATTTCAACTTGATATGCAAAAGAATGACCCGGAGTCAGCAGCTCATCAGCAAAATAGCCGAATAAAAAAACTGATGAATCTGTTACCTCTAAGTCAGGTTCAACAAGAACAGAATAATCCACCCAGTAAACTGTCAAAACAATCCATTCAACCTGAAAGCAATCAACAGTCTCAACAACAAAATACTCAAACCAGCCTACCTGCAATTCAACCAATTCATTCTGCCAGTCCACACCTCATTAAGCAAGAAAACAATAAAAAATTTCAATTTGTTAACAGTGCAAGCAATCAGTTACCGCAACAACAGAACATTCAAATATATGAACCAGCAACTTACATAAGCCATCCTACAAGTACTTCACCTACTCAGCAGGGAGCACAAACTATTCAACTTAGGAACAAAGTTTCAAATATTGCAAGTGATCTATTGTCTCGCATACAAAATGATAAAACTAATCAACCTGAGGCCGAGATTCATACTGAAAATAATCAGATTATGCCACAGAAGAATTACCAAATTAGGCAACCTAGGTATCAATCAGAACACATCACAAGTAATCAACCCACTCAACCACAGAATCTGAGGTCCACTAGACCCATGAGTCACCTGATTCACACAGCAAACAATCAAATCATTCATCAAAAGAAAGACCAATCCAAAATTCCTACAGATGTAATTATTCACTCTGTAAGTAATTATATCAGTAACAAAGATGATGAAAGAGACATTAAAATTAAGAATAAGTTAATGCAGTTCGAACAAAACCAGGTTATCGACCAAAAGACAGACCAATCAAATCAATACATAAACAAATTAATTCACCCTACAATTAATGAAATGAGTAATTCTCAGAAAGGTACTAATCAACAAATTGACAATGACCAATTTCATGAAACCAAAAATAAAGCAACCAGTCTTGCACTCAACAATTCAACTCATCAATCAATTCAACTCATGGGCATTCTTCCAGAAAACCAAAATCAGTCCATTCACCAAAACAATAATAAATTTGCATATCCAGACAAAAATCTACTTCCTCACACAACAGATAACATAATAGTTGACCATGAACCTTCTCAATATAAAGATGAAATCAAAATGTCAACAAACTTCATGACCAAACATCTAATAAGAAACATAACTTCTGTTTCAATTCATACACCATTTGTTTCTAAAAATTATACTGACATATTATTTCCTGAATAGAATAATTAATAAATGGAAGTAGTCTATTAACTTCATTACTTAATAATTATATGAAAAGTGTGATGCCTGAATAGATAGTTCCTCCAATGAAATGCAAGTAGTAGTCTGCTGTTAAGCAGTCCCTCAAGAACAAATTAGTTGATTGTCGATAACACCATACTACATGTGCAATCACTCTTAAAAAGTTGGTGGGGGCACAAGGGCAGAAGGACAATGGGAATATGTCTATCAGATAAGCACACAACACTTAAAATTCTGACCCATGTTGTAAAATGTGTTTCACTCAAAATAAGCTGATGAATGACCAACAAAGGAAGTTGTAGACAGAAGGAATTCTGCAAGCCATGACCAGTAGAGGAATGGAACCAGATGATGTACAAGATTGGCAGAAGTGGCACTTAGGGATGGCGAGGCAGCAAACAGTTGTATAAAGCCAAGTACTATTACTAAAATTTCTCAGACAGTAAGGCATGAATTAGCAATAACATTACATAAATGTACAATGTATCTACATAACACTAAACTTCCTTCAAAACTTCCCAGATTCTTACTTGTAAACAATTGTGTATTTATATATAAATTACAATAAAATATTTAATTATTTACTGCTTTCACTAATAATACCTATTTATTTGTAGATTATATAAGATGGATAGCTCAGTCAGTATAGTGACTATGGTGGTAAAGCGTGGCCGGGGCATAACGCTAACCACTCACCCCTATCTAGTGCCAAGGTTAAGAATGAGTATAAGCTATACTTCCACTCCCCCCAAACAACCTACATGGCGTGTAGCAAGACGGCTTTACTTTTTAAGAAGATAAGGTGGTACCTGCAAAATTTTAACTAACATTCTTCTGGAATGTTGACCCCATATGCCAATGAAATTACAGAGGATCACCATTGTGGGTTCCATTGTAATAGATCTACAATTGATCAAAGTTTCTACATTAGCCAGATTCTAGAGAAAAAGTAGGAGTACAATGGGACAGTACATCAACTATTTATAAACTTCAAGAAAGCCCATGACTCAGTTAAAAGCAAAGTTCTTTACAATATTTTGCTTGGATATGGTGTACCTAAGAAACTAGTTAGGTTAATTAAAATGTGTTTAAGTGAAACTTCTAGCAAAATTCATGTAGGTAAACATTTCCTATTCAGAATGGCCTCTATCACCATTGCTTTTCAATTTTTCCTTAGAATATGTCATCAGGAAAGTCTAAGAAAATCAGGGCAGTTTGTAATTGAATGGGACACATCAGCTTTTGGTCTATGCTGGGCGACAATATAATTACTACAAAAGCAAACACAGAAACACTCTTATGAGCGAGTAGGGATGTTGGTTTAGAAATAAATGCAGAAAAGACAAATTTTATGATCATGTCTCAGAATCAGAAATCAGGACAGAAGCAGAATATAAGGATAGCTAATGAATTGTTTAAAGATGTGACAAAATTCAGGTACTTGGGGATGGAATTAACAGGTCAGAATGGCATTCATGATGAAATCAAGAACAGATTAAAGTCAGGGAATGCCTGCCATCATTCAGTTCAAAATCTTTTGTTCTCCCATCTCATATTAAAAAACTAAACATTAAAATATACAAAAGTGTAATTTTGCCTATTGTGCTGTATGGGTGTGAAACTTGGTCTCTCACTTTGAGGGAGGAACACAGATTAAGGGTCTTTGAGAACAGAGTGTTGAGGAAGATATCTGGACCTAAAAGGAAGGGAGACGGATCACAGAGACAATTGCATAATGATGAGCTTCATGGCCTGTACTCCTCACCTGATATTGTTACGGTGATTAAATCGATAAGGATGAGGTGGGTGGGACATGTGGCACGCATCGGGGAGGGGAGGGGTGTTTACAAGATATTGGTTCGGAGGTCTGAAGGGAGGGACTGCTGGGAAGACCTAGGAAGACGTAGTTGTGAGGATAACATTAAGTTGAATCAGGGAGATAGGAATTGATGGAGCAAACTGGATGCAGCTAGCTCATGACAGAGTCCGGCGACTGGCTTTTATGAACATGGTGTTGAACTTTCTAGTTCCATAAATAAATTGGTCTATTCTGTGACAAGCCAAGTACAAAATCTACTTTTCAAATAATATCCTGCACCACAAAGTGAGTAAGTAAATTCCCATGTCATTGAGTTCTTTCAATTTATCCTACAGTAAAACTATGGGAAAATAAATGTTTCACTTATTTTTGTAGTAATCACACACTGATAACTCCAGATCAGTAAATTAATATCCACTGAAAGTATGCTGAAAATCACTAAAAGTCTCATTTGTTGAAATGTGACAAGTTATAAACATAGAAAATTAGGCTAAAATCAGGAAGTATGACATAGAAGAGAAATCCTATGATGTCACAAATGTGTAGAAGCTTACATAAACAATAAATCATTTACCGAGAGAAAGTGGAAAGAACACCACCAGGAATTATACAATGTTTTAATCACTCACTGCTAAAGAATTAATGAGACATAAGGAAAAATATGGGAAAAGTACTCCTTTTTATGAACTATATGTACAAAGTCAATAAAATATATGCATATCAGGGAGGTTACGTCTGTCTGCCCACCTGTCTGCACGTATCAAAATGGAGTTCAATGGAGTCTGGTTATCAGACTGAGACTTGAAACTGTGAACTCCCAAACATGAATAACGAGTGCTCAATACTCAGCTGCAATGTTCTATCACAACCTTTTATAGTAGACAAGATTTTGTATACATATGAAACTTGGCCCCTCACTCTGAGGAAGAAACAGATAAAATACATTACAACTGATAGACACAACTTACCCGCCAACTCAACTTACGATTTAAGGTAGTTTATCAGAATAACACTAAGAAATCAATTTTCATCATTTCATTAATATTCAGTTCATACAACTATCAAGAAACCTGCAAAGTCTATCTACTATAAAAAATTTGTGATTTCGTTGTCGTCAACCAATTTGTCATCAAAAAATGACGTCATCAACAATGTAATCTTATACTCGGCATTGTTGTGTTCCACAAGTCATACTGCTCATTCAAGGGTTAAAACGCAACCAACCCCCCAACCCCAAAGGGGGGTTGGTCAAGTGTTTTAACCCCCCATTCGGGGGGTTAGTTTAGTTTCTTACTCAAGGGTTAAAACACTGGAATGAGACACTAAACTAACCCCCCCGAAGGGGGAGTTAGTTTAGTGTGTTACTTAAGAAATGCTTGACCAACCCCCCCCCCCTAAAGGGGTGGATGGTCAAGTTTTTTTAACCCTCCATTCGGAGGGGTTAGTTTAGTTTCTTACACAAGGTTGGTTGTGTTTTACAAACTTGACCAACCCACTCAAGGCTCTGCTCTAGTGTTACTAAAATGTAACAAAGTTGGTAGAAAACAGATGGGAACTCAGATGTTTGCTATTGTTCTGTCACAGACTGTAAATTAGCTAAGATTATCTTAAAGCTAATAACTCTATCAATCACACAAAGAAACTTACAGTATCAGGTAACAGAGTTACGTGTTAATACGGATAGACTATGAAATATAATTATGCAGGTCATGATGCAATTCAGTACTTTCCCTCTTAAATGAATCTGAAGTTATGCTGGTACCTCATCACTTGAATACGCCAGTCAATACATAACACCATCACAATACCATACAGTGAGAGGCTCAACAAAGCATAACAACTGATTGAAGAAGTAACAGCAACTTCAACATGAAACTGTTTACTCTAACATCATACATACTAACATTACAAGTTTTTGGAATAATTGCAGATACTGACATACATCGTAACGTACATCCAAATGTTATTAGAGTTTCACTCGGTGGCAATACTCAACAGCGTTCCAATCATCGTTCGCAACTTCTGCGTCAGTCTGTACCAATATCACCAACAAATATAACTACAACACTCGCACAAACATTAGCAACAACCACAACTGAAGCAACAACAACAACAAATACAATGGAAGGCGATAACTTAAGTTGTTCTCAGACAGTTCACGTAACATCAGAAAGCACATCACAGTACCATTTTGTGGTGAGTAACCACAATGCTGCCAGTTTACACTGTGTGATAACAATCTTTGGACAACGAGGAAAACAACTTTTATTGCAAGTGACTGAGGCGGACCTTCAGCCTGGACTGTTTGACTGTGAAATAGATTCTGTTCAAGTGTACACGCTATCTGCTGGAAAACTATCATTTAAGGATAAGTAAGCATAAACATTTTACATTATGTACATATCGGCTCAAAGAAAAAATATATTTCAGTCTAGAATAGATGTGTC